AAAAGAGAGAAAATGAGGAAACCAAGTCCTTGAAAGTCTCCTTTCCATCTTCTTAATGTTGGCTCGACCATCTTGCATTCTCCTTGATTTCTTCATCTTTCTTCTGCCTCTTGTTCATTCACTTCGTTACCCACCTGTGTCCATTCCTGAGGTGTAGCCCTTGATTTGCTATCCTCTAGATTTAAAGATTTTCCTTTAGAGAACTCATTAGCTTAAGTAGCATTAGCAATTCTCTGTGGGGGTCTCTTAACCCACAGCTCTAGACCTGGCTTCTTCCCTCAAACTTTAAAAAGCTCTTTTATTCACTCCCCATTCCTTGCGGCCAATCCATGTCGACATCTAGGGTGGCTATGAAGTCCTTTTGATTCTTTCCACTTTCCTACTTTGTCACTTCAGTTCCAGAAAATCTGCTCAGACCTGTCATTTTCCTGCTTAAAAACCTCAACAGTCCAATTTCTTGGTCTGGCATCAGACTCTCCATATGTTTCTTTCCTACGTGGTCCTTTATTTTTAACCAGACCATTTGATTCACTAACACCTAAGTATGGTACAATCTTTATAAAAACACATTAATAAATACTTTGATTATCTTGACTTAAAAGGAAATCTTACTATTTTCCACAGACTATAGAAAATCTTCAGATTTGGAATGCACTGTGTTGAGTAAAGACACAAGATAATGCCCTGTACTCATTAGCAGAAGTTTTCCTTTGTTTTATTTACTGTTGTTAAACTCTGCTTGATTAAGCAAGGGAAAGAAATCTAATTAATAAGCAACCTTCCACTTCTAAAGAGTGAATAATCCAATCAAGATTGAACCGCATCCTCCCTATTTGATATAACACCTTTTGAAGCACAGACCACTGATGATCAAATAGCTGTTTCCGATGACAGATAACATTTTAGGGAGGAGATGAGAGGGGGTTAACAGTGTTCACAGCTGGAGCTTTAGCAATTAGCATATTAAATCCCACTTATTTGGGTGACATCCAGCGACCTGATTTTGCTCGGTATAGTGCATTAATTGTTCCATTCAAACCTAAACATAACCATGTCTGTTCATTCAACATGTTCTTACTAAACACCCATGTGCCGGGCACCAGTACAGCTAAGTGCTGAGGTTACAGCAGTATATGAATCATGTATCTTTGATCCCTTTGTCCCCACCTTGATGGGACCCATGACTAGGGGGCAGACACTGAATATTTTATAGGAAATGACTACTGCAAAATGGGAAAGCCACTGGGCTTATTAGGACATACAGTTTTACAGACTGGGGTCCACTGGAGATGCTCTGAGAAAGTGTACACATGCTGTTGCTCTTCCTTGGCTTACCCTTGCCCGTGGCCTTTTGACCTCACTTCTACTCACTCCTCAAAACTCAGCCTGGATTTCAGGGTCCTTCTAGAAGTCAAGTCTGGATTGTCCTCATAAGGTCTGGATTCGTCTTCCACACCTGCAGGTGTTCCCAAAACTTTGTGTGTTGCCTCTATCCTGGCATTAACCAAATGTATGGGAATTGTTACTCATCTGTCCCAACTAGATGATGAACACTTAGGGAGTATCTCTATATTTTAAGTGCCTAGCAAGTGCTTCATAAATTTTGCTAAATTAATGAAGGAATAAAGGTTTAGGGAGGAAAAATACTGGGCATTTAATTTCTGCTGAGGCTGTAAAAGGCAAAGCAAAAGATAAAACAACCAATAGTTTTAACCAAAGTATTTTTGGCAGAGGTTTGGAGCACAGCATAAGGGCTGGATTACGGAACATGTATAATTTCTGTGCTTCTGAAGCCCATAGCAGTTAGAACGCTTGAGGTCATCTTTTGCCAAAATATATACTCGGACATTTTAGCTCCAAGGTCTGAGGATACTCTACCAGGATCTTCTAATTCTGAAATAAAAGATGATCTATGTTTGCAACTACATTTGTATCTACAGGTATAATCTAAATCTGCACTTATAATCTATACAATCTATATGTTCCATGGTTGGCTAAAATTAATATAGATGTTTTAATACAGAGTTTTTTATTTTTATTTATTTTAAAGATTTTATTTATTTGTCAGAGCGAGTGAGCGAGTGAGCTCAAGGAGGGGGAGAGGCAGGCTGAGGGAGAAGCAGGCTCCCCGCTGAGCAAAGAGCCTGACACGGGACTCATCCCAGGACCCTGGGATCATGACCTGAGCAGAAGGCAGATACTTAACTGACTGAGCCACCCAGGCGTCCCTAATACAGAGTATATTAAAAGAAATAAAAAGTGGTCATAATTCCAGAAGATGACATATTCTTGGAAAAGAGTGCTATCTAGTGGTTAAATCTGGGAACAAGAGATAAGATACACCACAGGCTAGAAAACCTCTGAAAGGATGTATCTCAGTAGGTCACCCTTATGTCAAGAAGAGGAAAAAAAAAGATACATAGATTGCTCATAGCACAAGGATGTGAAAAGGAATAGATGCTGATTCAAGCTGTGTATTCAGAGTACAACATGGCGGAGAGATTAAGAACTTGGAATCAGAAGTCAGCTCAAGTTCAAAACTTGGCACAGGACCATAAGCAAACTACCAGACCTGTTTAATCTTTAGTTATTTTCAACAATGAAATGGAGATAAAAATATTGACTATCTGACAGGATTATTGTGAAGATGAAATAGGATGATATGTATAAAAATTCTGCATGGTGCTTGGTATTTAGTAAGCCAAATAACTCAGTAGACATTAGATTATTATTAATACTTAAAATTATTATTTTACTTAGAATATAAGTTTAAAATAATTGTAGAAAATCTTGTAAGTCTTCAAAAAAAAAAAAAGGTTAGGAGATAATATGAACCACTATAAGCATATAGAAAATGTCAGACACTAGTTTAAGTACATCAAAGCAGCTTAAAAAGTAAAATAGGTTCAAGTTACACTTCATTCACATAGTTCAGTTGAGTTGTAGGGTTAGCATTTTCAAAACAAAAGGCAATTTTTAGAAATAGCAAGATTACAAAATACTCTGAAATATCATCTTTTCCTAATAATAATCATGATCCTTGTTTCAACAATATTTTCCTTAAACAAATTGTGTACTTTTGAACATCTAATCTAATAAATCTATCTTTATATACAGAGTTCTTCAAGATTAACTGGTCATTTGAATTTTTCCCCACTTGGTTAGAAATACAAAAGGAAAACACAACAGAAATATTGATAGAAAATAAGTGTCAAAAACACTGTAATCCACTACATTTATATTAGAAAAGAATTTGACCTTCATATCTTTTGGCTTGCTGTATAACCTATTAGTTTAATTATCACAATAGCCTTATAACTTCAGATAGTACATGTCAACCTGAGTAAAGACAGAAATGCAAGGTTCATCTGCTTTTATGCAGCGGACCAAAATACCACAATTTGTAAGTAATCATAGATGAGCTTTTGTAGACTGGACACTTTACTGACATTACAGTCAGAAAAGGACTGGGTTCCCCAAGGCCAGTGCACAAAATTATCTTAAATAATCTTCCTCTACATAATACCTAAATTAAGCATAGCATGGACATATGTATGCCATTATAATCATTTCATGATCACTGTGTTGGCTGTGGGTCTTAAATGACACACAATGGGGGCTGCATTATTTTATATATTTTGTTACTGATAAAAAATAATTCAAAGTACCCATGTGTAATCAAAAAAAGAAATGTGATGGGAATCAGAACTGCATTATGGTTATATTTGTGTCACTAACTAGCTCTGTACTCTTGGGAGGGTTTGCAGCTTCTCTGAATTTCCATTTATTCATCTACAAAACAAAATAATCTCTAGGTCCAGGATAGCTCCATTCTCTAACCTTTTGCCATTATTTACTATGTCACAATGACTCCAAATCATAAACCCAAAGTTAGGAAGTACTTAATTATCCACAATGAGTATCTGTGACATACTACCATTCCTCTTTTCTGCTGTTAAAGTAGGGAAAGGCTAAACAATATCAAAAACATACTGTTGAAAAGACTAGAAAGATCTATTTAAATATTTTACCTTGAGCAATAAACATCTACCCATCTATGAAGATTAATTACCCACATTCACTTCTTTTTCTTATTCACTTCATAGTGGTTTTTTTTTTGGCTACCCTAGAAATTTGACACAAATGTCTGTAGTTAGCCACACATTAACACTTCCAGAACTTAACTCCTCCATATCCAAAACTACCCTTGAATGAAAATCTGTCAAGTATTTTTCCATTTATAAATCTCGCAAACTTTGATGACAATCTCATCCTGAATAAATGACAATGACAACTGATAAATTTACTTATGACTATGTAAGGTAAGCAGAACCCCATAATTGATAACAGTGAGAGAAAGGGAGCCAACGTAAGTAGAACTTGGTCAGCATGAATTGGCACCCTGAAGAGAAGAGGGTGCCGTGCGGGCGCTGGTGAGAGATTTCTGGAAGCAGTCACTCTCAGATCAACATCAGAAACTCAGTTAACTCACCTTTTTAGTGATCCTAGTATATCCTTCCACAATAAGGGCACATGAAACTCATCTGTGTTATAATGATTTTGCCAAAATGCTGGTCACAGTATTTCAAACTGCACTGGCAAATATGGTAGAGTAAAATAGTTTAACAGATTCACTATTTCAAGTCGTATCTTGATGTAAAGCAAATCCACTATGTGAAACATTACTTTGAGAGCAAACTGTTTTTGAAAGGATACATTGGGCAACACTGATCAAAAATGTCTGAGATAATTTCAAAAAATAATAATTTTAAAAATTCATCTGAGACCTGAAAGAAGAACCTTAGATACTACCTCAAGGCAATAGTATAAGCATGGAATATTATGAATATACAAGCTCAGGGCAATAGGTACATCCACACATTTCTACTCCTATAGTTATAACTAAACTTGAGAACCCTCACAGCAGCCTATTAAAATAATAGATCAACAGGATAAAAGTAGATAAGAAGAATGTGCAATTTATGAATACGGTTTATTACCATGGTTACAAACTTTCAGAACAGGCCTCTGAGACATGGGACTGAGACTTTGCCGAATATCTGTTAAAAAAAGAGAGAGAGACAAAATTAATACAGAGGTCTGTTCACCTCAACAAGTGTTAACAGTGGGATGCCTGGGTGGCTCAGTCAGTTAAGCGGCTGCCTTCGGCTCAGGTCATGATCCCAGCATCCTGGGATCGAGTCCCACATCGGGCTCCTTGCTCGGCAGGGACCCTGCTTCTCCCTCTGCCTGCCTCTCCCCCTGCTTGTGTTCTGTCTCTCTCTCTCTCTGACAAATAAATAAATAAAATCTTAAAAAAAAAAAAAAATGTTAACTGTTAGACTGTTTTCAAAGGTTAAATATGTCTCGACCCAAGCAATGCTTCAATACCCTGAAATACTTGAAGCAATGATGCTATGACTTTTACTTCCCATTTAGTTATGCTATTGTAAACTCCACTGGGATAAGGTGCATATGGTTCTTTAGATGAGACTTGTCACAGTAATCAGGATTTTCTAGGTTCAGTGCTTTGGTCTGTTAATGTGCTGACATCGGTCAGCTGGAATGCTTCTCTCTCTGACATCTGTCATGGCAAGGGAAGGATTAAGCAAACTCAGGAAACTTCTGAAGAGTTGTTGCCCAGAGCACTACATTCTTGACACATGACTTGAAAAGAATTAAAAGGAAAAAAGAAAACGGTTGTTCTTTGTGATAGTTCCCTAGAAAGTAACATGAAACAACTATAATGTTCACCTTTTGGTTTTGGTGTCCTTTTTCTTCTGTCGCGGAAGGCAGCCCCCGACTGCAAAGCCTCCAGCAGACTATCCATCACTCCTGTCTCATCACCCTCTGTGAAGAGAGATGCAGGGAATTCCATCAGCCCTCAGGGTTACCATAGCAATGTCAAAGCATACACAGAAACTGGTGATGGTGATGGTAGGGGGAAGAAAGATCAGATGCCAGGACTAAGCCAGCAATTTCAAAATAAGATAGGACTTTATAAATCAAATATCTTTTAATGAAATCGGGCTCATTAGTGCCTGTGTTACTGTCCACTAAAGAGGACCAGCTTCCATTGATTCACTTCACAGGACTGCTTTTATAGTCTGGTGGCCCAATAACTTTAAATAGAATGCGGTTCTAGTCATATCTGTGTCCCAGGTTATCATAAATCACATTTCCCTTGTAGAAATGGGTTATTTTCAAAGCATCAGCTTCTATTCTAAAATCGACCAGGTGTGGGAGAATGTTTTCGTTGCTGTTACTGAGACTCTGCTGCCTAAACTTTTTGCACAAAATTTTATTTCCAGGTTAACTATTGTGAACATGCTCCCAACAACTGATCTTTCGTATCAGAAGATAATCGTCCCCTGATTTTGGTGACACAGAACAATCACTACAAACTTTCATAGAATGTATGAAAAGTTTATCTTCTGTAATGAAAAAATAAACCAAAAGAGCCTCTCAAGTACCTAAAGTATTTTTCATCCCATTATGATTAGTTTAAATTGATATTCTGTATATATTTAGTGAAGGTTGTGGTATAGAGCCAATCCTTTCTCCAAAGAACAGATTATCTTGTAATATTCATAGTTATTTATAGTTGTCAATGCTAAATATTATTCAAAGGGGGGGAGCTTCAAACTACTGGCCCAAGCCCAAATTCAAGGAAATACACTTTTTTGTCCCTCAGAAAGAGGTTATTTGTAGGATTCTCTATGAAATTGTATGGCTGTCATAGTTACATCTAAAGTAATAGAAAACTACTTCCTCTGGATTTTTTATTTCTTTTTATTGAGACGCAATCCCTTGATTGGGAACAGACGACAAATGAATGCAGTAAAGTACAGATAGCAAACTCATTTACAGTTTATAAACAGATATATAAATATAAATATGTATCGGCCTCTTTCCATCTGGTTCTATCTCATATTTTTAGAAAAGTACTAAACTTTGTAGGTGTAATTAAAAAAAAAAAGGTGGGTGACAGGTAGAGTATCTGAAGGTTAACTTACAGATAAATTTAATTCTAAAGTGGCTTGAAGGCTATTTTAATTAAAATACACTAAAAATTTCAGACCCCTTAATTAGTAACTAAATATCTTTGAAAATTTACACTCAAACTTAACTTTAAAAAAAAAAAAAAAACTGTGAGTAATGCCAGATATTCAAAGTTGAGGATATATTTCATTAGTAAAAGGCAACATTTTAAAAATCTACAACTTTAAAAAAGCAAGCACGAGATTAATGGCATACACTTTAAGGGAATAAAAACAAAAACAAAGAACTACAAAGAAAATTTGGACTTTCGTTATTAAGTTTACTGTTGATAGTGGTATTGACATAGTGAATCTGAAACCATTATGTGTGTATTATAAGGTTGAGCAGACGGGTAAACTCGCTATTGGAAAGGAAATACAAATATGGAATAGGAGGAGAGAAAGAACCATAAAGTGTTGGATTTCACTTACAAGGGTTTAAAAAAAAAAACACAAAAAACCAAAACACTTCCTAGCTTTCCAAAATAACCCAGAAGTAATGACTGTGGCAGCAGTGAGCACGCCGGTCTCCAGATCTTGGTTTCTAAATACCATTACTAATGTGAACTAGAATACTTAGAGAAATATCTGATTATGGGGCTGAGACCAAGAAAGTGTGAAAAAAGCCAGGAATGTATTGATGTACCAGAAGATTAGAAAGTACTCACAGAAGGCAGGGATGTGTCAAAAGGGCAGAGGGGAGCTAGACTGAAGGACAGTCTTGGCCAAATTTAGGGGGACTTGAGCACTAAATGAATAATAATAGGGATGGATTATTACACATTGGGGGTAAAAAACACTTATGCATCCATACTGATACTAAAAAATTAAAAATAAATATGGGGTAAGGGAAAGCTCTTTATAGAAGAATGACAACCAATAGGTGTCAAAGATATGGGGGAAATACACAATTTACTATATTACAATTCACATAGTAAGAATTGATTGAGGCAGGAATCATCAATGGGTGCAGAAACTACTGGGTATTAGGCTGTCAGGGAACAGCATTTGGAGAAATCTGGCAGATGTCACCTTACCTAAAGAATCCAATCTGACATCCTATGTCACAGTAATGGTACACAACGGACAAGCGCCTTCTGAAAGGGTGCACTGAGACAGACCCAACCTGTGTAGTACTTTGCACAAAAATATTTATCCTGAATCTAAATGTGAGGAAACTATAATAGAAATCCAAAGTGAGGAACATCCTGTAAAGTGACTGGCTTGCGTTCTTAAAGACCATCAATTATGAAAGACAAGAGAGAGAGGGAGGAATGAAGGGGAAGAAAGAAAAGATTAGGGAGATTCAAGAGGTAGGACAACCAACTGTAAAACACAAGCGTTGATTAGCTCTTGGACTGTATCTTATAAATGCTATTGTTGGGATAATTGGGGAAATTTTAAAATGGACTAGGTATTACATAATTATATTATGCCACTGTTAAGTTACCTGAAGATGATAATTATGGTATCATTTGGTAGGTTCATTCCATTGTTGTCAGGAGATAGATGCTGACACACTTAGGCTCACTAAACAACTTATGCCCCCATCTCATGTTCTCCGTTTCATGCCCTTGAACATGCTGCTTTCTTTACACAGAACATCCTTCCCTTTTCTTCGCCAAGCTAACTCCTCCTCCAAGACAGAAAGGAGAATCCTTCCCTGAACTATGTGAGCTGAACCGGGTACCCCTCTGTGTCCTAATGGCATGGGGTAGCCACAGCAATAAATCCTTTACAATATAATTTACTTGACAGTTTCTGCCACTAGACTGAGTTCACTGAGGACAGAGATCATGGCTTTCATTTATCCTTAATACCTAGCAAAATGCCAGTATCACACAGAAAGTGTTCATTATTAACTGTTGACTAACCAGTGAGGTACTCACATGGCCAATAGGAAGGAGTAATCGTGCAGGAGAAGGAAGGCCACAGGCGGGGCAGGGGTCAGGGAAGCGGTGGGAGCGCGTTCCCACCACCACCGTAAACAGTGCAGCACTGTTTCTCTCTCTTCCCTTGTCTCACACAACCATTCGGTTGCCAAACCCTGTTCATGCACACTCCCCAGTATCTCAAGAATGGATCGATTGTTTCCTTTTCTGATTGAACCTGAAGTTCACTGTCGAGAATTGAATTACTTTTCACCTGAAATATCGCATGAGTTGCCAGGAGTCACACTGCGTCTAGTTAATCCCAAATTCAAATTCATCCCATACAGCACTGGTCTGCTCAAAAGCAGAGCCATGATCTTCAGTCTCCCAGTCACAAATTTCCATTATCTCTCACTTCCCGTAACATAAAGTTCCAACTCTCACTTGCCCCGACACTTGATTCCAATTGTGTTTCCAATCTTATCTCTTTTAATTTCAAAACCTGTTCTTCAGCTAAAGGCAACTTTCTTCACACGTCTTTTCTCTTCCATCCTTCCCTCTCCAGCTGGAACCTCTGCGCTCTTGTCTCCCAGAGCTAATGGCTTTTCTTGGCCTTCATTCCCACGTGCATAATGGGAAGAACATATTATGGAAGTAAGAAGACACGCGTTCTAGTCTGAGCTCTCAACTAACAACCTATGTGACACCGGACTCATTACAAAATCACTCCTGACAAGTGTAATAGAAAAAATACCTGTTTAGGGTTAATGAGAGGATCAAATGAGAAAATACAAATGAGAGTACTTGGTAAATTGCTGTGATATCAAAATGTAGGGAAATAAATTCATAAATGAACTCCATAGCACACTACAGGCAGTTTATGAAATATTTGATTATTATGTTTCAAGTATTGTTTCAGATACAATATAAATTAAATGACTTCTATAGTGTATTTTATTATGTCTTTGATTATCATCATTTCTAAGGGAAACTGATGAAGTACCTGTCAGAAGTAAGCCCTTTAAATAGTCTCTAAATAATCCAATGTGTAAGGTAAGACATATAATGGAGATGTTATTCCAAATGTTAAAAGTGCACTTAGAATATATTCATTCACCATATGTTTACTGAGGGCTTACTATGTGCCAGGACACTACTAGGCACTAAAAATACCCAGGCCCCAAGAATTAATAAGACATGCTTTCTGATCTTAAGAAGCAGAACAGTGTGATAGGTATGGGAGGGATTCGTATGAAGTACTGGAGATAAAAGATTTCCTGGTGAATTATGATCTGACAAATAAGCAGGATTTAGCCATGGCAAAGACTAGAGAGAGAACAGCATCACTGGCAGAAGGAATATCAGGTACAAAAGCAAAAGATATGAATAAAAACAAAAGTGAGCTAGAGTCAAGTATTGAAATGATTTATATTTACATGATTCTAATACAAACTTAATTCATATTTACATCGCTTTCATACATTATTCCTCTACAAAGAGAAATAAAAATTAGCTATTTTTTAAATTGTAGACTAGAATTCAGTATCTCTAACTACAAGTCAGTTCATATTCAAAATATTTATAGTCTCTCTCCTGCTATGAACTCTTTTAAATCAAGAGACTAACTGTAATATTCAAAGCTTTGCTATATCTGAATAACACATCACCTTGTTTAATTAGTAAATGGTATTTACAAAAATTGTACGGTGTCAAGGGAAATGGAGGAGAGAGAGCTAAGGAGGAGATACCCCTAAAGCAGAATCAATAGGACATGCAGACAAGCAGAGGATGGCCTACTGAGGAGTTAGACAAGTCTGAGGTCTCAGGGGCCTATGACAAAAGGAGTAGAAAATATGAAAATGTTTTAAAATAATAGTTTGTTGGGGAACAAATGTTGAAGATAATGAGCTTCCTTTTGGACATATGAGTACAAGGTGCT